GCCTCGTGTGTAGCGCTTTTGCAGCAGTTAGACTACGTGGTTCCCTGCAGAAAAGCCAGGCCTACGTGAGAGAAGACGTAATTGTCTAGAAAATGCCTATAATAATTGTTGATTAGGGTGTTGTACAGCCGGAGGGCCTGTAGCCTTAGATTTGCAGGCAATTGCCCCGCCCTGTTTCCTCTTTGCTAGATGTATTGAAATAATGCAATTTTTTTTTGCTTTTAATGAGATGATAGCTACGTTTCGACGGAAGGCCGGAAAAACGCGGAACACTGTTTGTCCGTGTATCCCTGGCGCCTAAGACGCATTTTCATAGCCTGAGGATCCGGCGTCAAGCTTTAAATATGATCAACATTTGGAAGTGGGCTAAACGTTCGTGTCCGCATACGTGTCTACGAAGAAATACCGGGCGTTAACGTGAGCAGAGAAAACAAGTAACTAACCACGTGCGCGCGCCCTCACACTATAAAAAGTTTTCTAAAGGAGCTGCGCAGTTACCCCTAAAAGGGCTCTTCGCTCCTCCGAAAGCCGAAATGTGAGCAAAATATTTTTTTCATTTCATTTCATTTTTTTACTTTCAATGCCGTAAGGCGTTACAGAGAGGAGGGGTACAATATTAAACAATCAAGAGAAAAGACAACAGCGGGTGTCACAGAACGAGCGCTAAAAAAGAGCGCGCCGCCAAATCCTTGCGACAACGGGCGGCAGAAACGCCGCGAGGTAAAAAGAAAAAAAAAAGAAAGCAAACATCCAGGGCTCCCGGGCGCGCGCTCTCCCCGCAGAAGCACGGCTTCGCAGACGATCCTCCTCACCCCACATCTGCGGCCCAGCAAGACCGCGATTTTTTCTCGAACGAACGGGGCGGGGTCAGACCGAGCTGAGTCATCCGACGCGGAGGGCAGACAAACCGTCTCGCCTCTCCCCAGCCTTCGCCGCGTATTGCGCCGACGAAATGACCAGAAATTTCTGGAAGGTGGCGCGGAAGGTATTTAATCGAGCGGCCGAGACGACAGAACAGGAGGAGACGGAAAGTTAGCGCCGGAGCGCGTAGGAATTCCGCCGTGTAGTCGGCGAAGGTTCTGCCCGTAGTGACAGAACAGGAGGAGACGGAAGTGAGCGCCAGAGTGCGTAGAGATTCCGCCGTGTAGTCGGTGAAGTTTTGGTCCGTAGGGACGGCTCGAGCTACAGGCAAGAGCGTGGGTTTACCGCTATCGAGCGAAGACGCGGGCAACAGCTGCGTGTGTGAAGCCGACGGGTTCCGGCGAAGAAGTTGAAGTTTGAAGAGTGGCCAATTGAAGACGGGAGGTTTCCTGCAAGAGAACTTCGAGAGCTGCGGAACGACAACAACGCTGGACTTTGAGTGAGTGATTCTCGGAAGAGTATCATTCAGACTTTTGTTCCAAGGACTTTGGACTGAATAGGTTTTCTATCTCTTTAGTCCTTAAGTGTCTTGGTTGTTCAATGCATGTGACTGCATCGTAGTGCGTATTGTTGTCTGTGTCCGTTGTTTCAAGTGTGGTTGATTGTACTGTGTAGTACATTGTCTGTTTGGTGACGTATTGTATGTAACTATTGTGGAGTGTGCATACGTGTGTATTGTTTTTGATCTGCCGTTAATGAGAATATAATTTTGTTTGTTTATCATCTCTCGGCTCTGTCTTGTTCTTTGGGCCACAGCCGGCGTCCGCTGGCGCACCAATAAGGACCACTTCTAAATTGTCCACGCTTTCGTGGTGCGGTTCGGGGGGCCGATACTTCGGCTCTTGGAATTAGCCCGGTGATCGCCTCCCTAATAAACGGGACAGGTGTGACAATTAATCTGGCGTCCGCGACAGGACCTTTTGGTGCACAGTGTGTCCAAAGTAGTGAGAAAGAGCCTCGAGTTGTTGATAGTGCTATCGGAACGATTTTGTGTGTTGTTCAGTGTTCTCGTTGACGAGTGCAGTGGAGTGTTCCGATAGACTAAGTGAGGCAGATACTTTTTGCACGCGGCAAGGTTTTATTTGCGAGACACGATGGATCTCGAAAAGTTAGTTGCTCTTGGTGAGAAGATGGGTCTTTCTGGTGCCGAACTACGGAAGTGGGTAAGCCAGAAGGAGAAAGAGGCAGCGGAAAGGGCCAGGGAAGAAAAAGCAGCTGAGTTGGAAAGAGAGAGGTTGGCGGCAGAGAGGGCCAAGGAAGAAAAAGCAGCTGAGTTGGAGAGAGAAAAGTTGGCAGCCGAAAGGGCGAGAGAAGAAAGAGAGGCAAAAGAGCGACAGCTGAAAGAAAAAAGAGAGCTGCAATTGAAGTTGGAGCTGGAGAAAGAAAGACTGGCAGCTGAGAGGGCGAAAGAAGAAAGAGAGGAAAGGGAACGGCAGCGGCAGCACG